TGCTGCTGCTATTGCTGCTACTGTTCCTGCTGCTCCTGCTGCTCCTCCTGCTCCTGCTGCTGCTCCTGCTGCTGCTGCTGCTGCTGCAGCAGCAGCAGCAAAGCGTTCTCCGGATACGTCTTCGTCTCCATCATCATCCTCAGCAGCAAGATCAAGAACAGCAGCAGCAGCAACAGCAGCAACAGCAGCAGCAGCAGCAGCAGCAGCAGCAGCAGCAGCTCCTCCTGCTGCATTTGGTTTGTTTCAGCTGCAGTTCGACTGTGACGCTGTCTTGGGGACTCTTGCTGCTGCTGCTCGCCGCTTTCTTGTTGTTGCTGCTGAGGCAGCAGCAGTAGCAGCAATCCAGGATGAAGAGATACCGCCCCCCTACTCCCTGCACAGGCTGCTGCAGCAGAACCTGCAGCAGCAGCAGCAGCAGCAGCAGCAGCAGCAGCAGCAGCAGCAGCGGGGGTTGCCGCGTCTGGTTAAGAAACTTATTAAACAACCCACGAGGGTCATCTGTATACCTTATGCTCTCAAAAACGTAGATGCTGCAGAGCAGCAGCAGCAGCAGCAGCAGCAGCAGCAGCAGCAGCAGCAGCAGAAGCAGCAGAAGCAGAAGCAAAAACAAAAGCAGGTCTCACCATATATCAACGAAGACAGCGGGACCCCTGATCTCCTTGACGACTGGCAGCAGCAGCAGCAGCAGCAGCAGCAGCAGCAGCAGCAGCAGCAGGAAGAAGAGGAGGAGACAGACGCAGCTCTACCCCTCAGCAGCAGCATCGCAAAAGCATGGGGGGGAATGATTGCTGCTGCAGCAGACGCAATAGGTGTGAAGGCCCCCGAGGGAGTTGCTGCTTGGGTGCAGCAGCAGGCGCAGCTGCTGCTGCCAGCAGACGACAGCAGCAGCAGCAGCAGCAGCAGCAGCAGCAGCAGCAACTGCAGCAGCAACAACAGCAACGGCAGCAGCAACACCGAACACGAATGGGCTGCTGCTTCTGAGCAGCCCTGGAGCAGCAACACCCCCCCAACTACCACCAGCAGCAGCAGCAGCAGCAGCAGCAACAGCAGCAGCAGCAGCAGCAGCAGCAGCAGCAGCAATGCTACAAATGCAGCAGCATCTCGTCGTGGTTTAGCTGCAGAGAGAGACAGCAGAGTGCACAGCCAGAGCTGGCCCGCTGTATCTCACCATCACCAGCAGCAGCAGCAGCAGCAGCAGCAGCAGCAGCAGCAGCAGCAGCAGCAGCAGGAGCAGCAGTTCTTCTCCTCTGCAGCCTCCTCCTCCTCTTCTGCTGCTGCTGCTGCTGCTGCTGCTGCTGCTTCGTGTGTGTGCCGCGTGGACCTGCAGCGTTATATTTCTTCTTTAGAGAAGCTGTTGTCTTTTGGTTTTTATTATAGTTACGACCTAGAGCTCACGCGCTCGCTGCAGCGGCAGCAGCAGCAGCGGCCGCAGCAGCAGCAGCAGCAGCAGCAGCAGCAGCAGCAGCAGGGACAGCAGCAGCAGGGGCAGGGACAGCAGCAGCAGAAGGGACAGCAGCAGCAGGATGAGGATCCGTTTGGTTCTGTTTCTTTTTGCTGCTGTCCTAGTTCTTCTTCTCCCGTTTGCTGCTGCTCTCCTGCTGCTGCTGCTGCTGCTGCTGCTGCTGGTGCTCCTGCTGCTGCTGCATCTTCTGTCTCCTCTATTTCGTACAACTGCTGCTGCTGCAGGCAGTCTCTACCTGGCTATCCCGACAGCAGCTACAGCAGCAGAACAGCAGCAGAGAGAGACAAGCTGCTGCTGCTGCATGCACGGTGGTGGGGCTTTGCTTTTGCTGCTGCAGCAGATGAACGTTTTGTATGGAATGCCTTCCTCCTTAAGGAATGGAGACGATCCCAGGTCGATCCCAGGTGGACCCTACCACTCATACAGGGTACAAACTGCTGCTGCTGCTGCTGCTGCTGCTGCTGCTGCTGCTGCTGCTGATGGTGATGGTGATGGTGCTGCTGCTGCTGCTGATGGTGATGGTGCTGATGGTGCTGCTGGTGATGGGGCTGGTGGTGGTGCTGCTGATGGGGCTGGTGGTGGTGGTGGTGGTGGTGCTGCTGCTGCTGCTGCTGCTGATGGTGCCGCTGCTGCTGATGGTGATGGTGCTGCTGGTGATGGGGCTGGTGGTGGTGCTGATGGTGCTGCTGATGGTGATGGTGATGATGATGGTGCTGGTGCTGCTGCTGCTTCTGCTGCTGCTGCTGTTGCTGCTGTTCTTGCTGCTGGTGGTGCTGCTGCTGCTGCTCTTGCTGCTGCTGCAGTGTTTCCTCTCTCCTCTCCCTTCTCTCTCTGTCTCTCTCCCTCTCTCTTTGCTGCTGCTGCTGCAGCTGTTGCTGCTGCTGCTGCTGCTGCTGCTGCTGCTGCTGCTGCTCTCTTCTGTCTCTCTCTCTTTTCTCTGTTCTCTCTATATTGTCTTTATCTGTCTCCTGTGTCTGTACATATCTCATCTGTCTCCTCTCTATCTGTCTCCTCTCTATCTGTCTCCTTTCTATCTGTCTCCTTTCTCTCTATCTGTCTCCTTTCTCTCTTTCTCTATCTCTCCTATATATACATATATACACACACACACACACACACACCTATATATGTATATATATATATATATATATATATATATATATATATATATATATATATATATATATATAT